GTGCTTAGTCAGCGCCTCCTCTATTTTTTCCAGTGCTTGGGCGAAGGAGCGTTTTTCAATGGGTAGCGGCTGTTAGTGCTAGTGCGGTGCTTTGCCGCCAGATGCCGCAGCTGGAGTAGAGATGCCGCCGCGTCGTCTCTCCCGCAAACGAATGCCGCGGCTGCATTCGAAGCTGCTATACGGCTCGGTTTTTGGCTGTAATGGCATTGTTCAAGGTGTAATGGGAAACGAGAATCATGAAGCACTTGTTCTAGGCACTCAGCTCATTTCAAAGGCTTGAGGCGTTCGTGACTGCTTGATCTAGGCACTTGCACGTCATCTGCTAGCAAGGCTGATGCCAGATAGCTCATGCAAGTAATCTGCGGAAGATCGTTTTGTCACCGTGGTGTTCGCTAGACTGAGTTGCTTTTTTGGCTAACTGAAAGTCGATTTTTGAGAGAAGTCTATGCCAGGAGCTAATATTAGGAGCTTGGGGGCCTAATGTTCCCCGATGCTTGCTTCTCTCCAGGGGCGTAGAACATTTTGCGCAAGCCTGGAGTTCATGCACCAAATAGCACAAAATGTCACTAGACTGCTTTCAGGGATATAGGTCATTATCCATTTGCTTCTCAAAGCCTGACATGTGTTGCAACCGAGAAAAAAGCAAGTGTCAGAAAATGAGGAATTACGGCAGGTGACTTCACCATGTGAGAGCTTAAGCAATGAAATCATCGTTAAATAGACAAAAACAGCTCCTTATGCAGAGATTTTTGCGATCATTGCCTGTGTTTTGAAGAGGCGTTGTTAAACTCAGAAGTCTGACACCGACTCTCAGCTTGAGCCAAGGTGACAAGGCATAAAAAACGCGGCCTGTGGTCAGCTGATTCAGCTTGTATGTGTATTCGTGGACGAATTGTCGTAGCCTTAATATTCGGCTGCTCAGGTGTTTTTTTTTTTTTTGCTTCCCTCTGACATCTTAATTCGGTAGCAACCAGAGTAGAGACGAAGTGGCTGCGTGGAGCCCATGGGTTACCGTTCGGCCTCGGGGCGTAATGTAAACGTCGCACACGGCAGTGATCGTAAGGCAGTGTTTCTGCTAGACTCATTTGCTGACTGTTCGGATGCAGCGCACTGCTCTTTAGTGATTCCAATTGCCATGTTGCAAAACATGATGGGTAGTCTTCAGCCGCCACTACTCATAGTCTATAAAATACCCGGGTTGTAAATGATGGCTACATACTAGAGTGTAGAACGTAGGTTTATTAGGAGACCAAATGGTCTGCCTGATTAATGCGAGCACGCTCCCCCGAACACCAGCGGAACTTGCAATTTCACGGAGATACAGCCGTACAGTGAATTAAGGCGACAGCTAGAAATGTCTCATCAAATGCGAAAATTGATCACCGGCGGCGTCCGGAGTCTCCTCGCGTCGGCGGCGTGAACACGAGTGATGCAAAGAATCATCACTACGTGCGAACGTCATTATATGACGTCACATGTATTAAATGTTTGTGACGTATATGAACGTCACGTAACTTGACGGCATCATATAACATCTTCGCTTGGTTGAAATGGGCTGATAATTTGGGCAGTGCATAACCAGCTGCGGGGCAGAAAGCTAGGCTTGTCTCCAATCCTTGAGGCAGTAAGAAAAACATGTTGGGCGCAGAAATATCACGCAGGGAAGTAAAAAGCACTTAGTGAATTGAATTGGAAGAAAACAAGGAGAGTTTTTGCATTTGACTTATCTCGAATTTCCATGTGAATGTTTGTGCAGTTCGTCAAAAAAACTTGAAGTTATTGTCTCCAGATTACGGCACCCTGATCCCCCAATAGTTATTTATTTACACAGAGCTGGTCTTACACTCTCCCCTCTTTGTATGTTTTGTGCAGAATCGGAAACTACTGAACATTATTTTGTCTCATGTCGTAACTACGCAGTAATTAGAAAAATACTTCTAGCTATTCCGTTTGCGAAGCTAAGTTTAATTTAAACCACAAAATCTGTTGTGAATTTTGGTGCCTCCTTTCTGGAAAATCGCTTTAGAGATTTATTTAATGCAGTGTGCAATGTCATTTCAGACATTAAACGTATTTAAACATAGGGCCCCCTTTAAGAAATACTTGAAAAAGAACAGTCAGGAAGTAATTTTTGAAATTTCAATAAATATGAGACATACAACCCAAATTAATCGGGTTTGGCACACTCAGCTGTCTGATCGGCTCCCAAAATCAAAGTATAATTATTATATTAGTGATTGCTTTACTTTTTCACACTCTCTGAATCTTTGTTTTTCTTTTATGTCTTTGTTCTACATATTTTTTCTTTTTTTTTGTAAGCAATAGTGCAGTTACCGTTCTCAGGATACTATATGTTTTCTTGGCCAATCCCCCAGAGTGGGTATGTACCATGGATTCCAGGCTACAAACAAAGAAACAAGTCTTCTCAGGTGAATTCATAAAAGGAATGGCGTGTTTTTCTGTATCTAAAGAGGAATGACAAAAAAAGACAATCTGTTTTATTTCTGTCAGATATGCAGAGTGGCACACAGCAGTATTATGTACTGAGGCATGCAAAACATGGGGTTTCAGTGGCTTCAATAAGAAAAGAAAATGCGAATGCTATGAAACTCGAACGCATTTATTGAACGGGTAGCACTGCCTGGCAGAGCCCGGTGAAAACAGCACGCCGCTATGTTCGTGATACGTTTTATCTTCCCCGCATACGTGAAGCCGTCAAGAAGCACGACTGCAAATTAACTCACATGGAAACACGAATTTGCGAGCTTCATAATACGTGTTGCCGTTATTTTTGTTTAATTCTAAGTATAATTCTATAAAAATTACAATACCAACCAGCCCAAGTAACCACTCTTTTCCTGTAGTCTACTCGCGCAGTGCCACCATGCGGCAGCGGCAAGCGGAGGAGGAGAGTGTGCTCGACGGCCTGAAGAGAGCGTTCACCCGGGCACTGAAAAAAGTTAGAGGAGGCGCTGGCTTGGTGCACCTGGTTCTCCGACTAGCCGCGAGATGCACTTTGTGGCGCACGGGCTGCACCCGTTGTGAATGGAACGCTCATGATCATCCATTCACAGCAATTTGCTGAAGACCGAAAAAACGGAAATGACGTCTTCGAAGTACAGTGTAACCTTCACAATGCGCACACCAAGCTTTCTGCGTGGTCAAGCTTACGCTACCCATTAGCTTCACTGAAGTTGCTGAAGGCTGCTTAGAGAAGGTGACTTCATGGTGAGACCGAAAATGGGTTATTAACAAAATAAACTTCATTTAGTGAGTTAGGAGAAACCGCTGCAGTGATGAAGTCGACAAGCCACCCAGACACGTTGGAGCAATGGTCAGAACACGTGACCTAACTATCGTCTAGCCATTTTAAATGCTAAACTTTCAAGAAGCTTAAAACACCCTAAAGAATTTTGTTTCATACTGCATCCTCACGGCACTCGAAGCAATCGGTTGACTTACATTTTGCAAGTAGGCTGCTGCTGGGGGACGCACCAGCACTCCCGTTACCTAGATTAATTTAAAAAAAAAGCACTGACGTACTGAAGAGTGGAAGAAATGGGACTTTTACATGTGAGTCTAAAAAAAGATCTAGGAAATGTTCCTCAATTGTTAGAAAGACGCTGAGCGTAGAATGCATAATTCAGTGGAAACGTAAACCGAAATTCACCAAAAAACTTGCCACTTCACCATTCCTAATTTTAGGTCAGTACGCGGCTCTCAAATTCGCCAATTTCGCAAAAAGTAGCCACCATTGGCAAACCTGCGCATAAGCTCTTAGAGTTACAGTCAGCTATTCAAGCCAAAGAGTTATCTCTCTCTACTGCATCAAATATATCTACGTTCCCCGGAAAACCGCTGCAGCTCTCTTTCAGTTCCGCTGGCGAATAGCCCTTTTTTTACTGGAGGTGATCTTAACTAGTCTACCTCAAAAGTTCTTCGGGGTTCTGCAGTGAAGCTATCCTGATCTCTTAGGTTTCAACGGATAGAGTGGCAGGAAATTAAAAACGCACTGAAATGTGTGTTTCGATTTAGAAGTGGTTTGATTCACAAAACACTACTAAAGAATGGTGTAGTCTTCTCCGTAAACAGTGCGCGCACACCAGAGCAGCCCAGCTCAGGAAAATAAGTCTATACTGTTTGCCGAAGATTCGTGAAATGAAGACGCTCAATCCCCCTGTGATTACGACCGCTATCACACATAGCAATATAGTTTCTCTAAATCATCGGATTCGGACGACGACCCGCCTTGACGTATCAGCAGTGGAAGACTCGCATCTCTGTGCTTCCTTTCGTTAAAATTCGTCAACGTTTCTGCATGGTAGACGGGAGAGGATAAGATCCTTTCCGTGGTGCCATGCAGTAGAGCTTCTTCTCCTTATATAAAAGAAAATATAGTCGTATCATGGTGTGTTTTGCGAATAAAGTGTGTTTGAATAGCTTCAAAATGTTAAAAGGCGCGTAAGATCGAACAGGCAAATTAAAAAAGCGACAGTTTTCATTGTTTTCTCTTCAATAACTAGGTAAAGAAAGGGTTAAAGAGTGGCTATTGAAAATGCTTGACTTTTTTTTACTAAATGATAACAAATCATATAGCCAAAGATATTGCTTTTATTTGAAGCAGGCTGCCTGAAGCTAAACTGTGTATTGAAGTGCAGCGATGAAAGAACACAGAGTTTACATTTCAAAGCTATCGATAAAAGTTACCTTATTATGCTTCATTACGTTCCTTGTCCGTAAAACACCTATATGAAGTTTTCGCCGGCTGTTCTAAAACCTTAAACATTAGAGATGCTTGTAAGATTTTGCTGTCTTTTAATGGGTTTTAAGCCAAGTAGTGCGTTACGTTGTAGCCACAAATAAAAAATAAAATTGCTCCAATTACCTCAGTTTGCCTTTACGGTGCTTTTAAAAGTGAGCCTTATAATCATCTGCATGCCATTGTAATTCCAGCTTCACTTGAACAGAATTAAGCTGAATTCAGTCAGCAAGATACTCACGCGTGTAGTCCACCGGGGGTGCCTTGTGGCCGTCTCGTCAGCCGTCACACGTGGCTTCTGGCGCAGGAGGAAACGGGTGCCACCAAGCAGCAAAGCCCGGACACCCGGCTGCGCTTATCAGTCCCGGTATGCCGGAACGGATGCGCCGGCACCCATGGTAACAACGACTTCTCTAACAAAGCTAACCGACAGGGACTGCAGGGGCTTATCGAAGTAGAGGCACGCACAAAAGAGGCAGTCATAGTAGGGACGGAATACGATACCAAAAATCCTATCGAAACAGGCACATTGTTACATTCCCGTTCTTTTCGTTCTTTGATCTCGTGGTTTTTTGAACATCACTCGACATACGTACATTGAGTCTCAATGAATATTGAGAATACAAAAAAAAAAGGTCATTTGGAACCTGTGGGGACAAAGTGCGAATCAACCAACTAATTTGCAATGACTGACCAGCGTTTCGTCAGACTACTGCCAAATAAAATGAAAATTGACCTTAATCTAACTCGGCTCATCTTGAGAGGCTATGTGCTATTTCGCAATGAAACTATTTGTTCGTTGCTATTTCTGTATATCTTTGTCTTCGCCAAAGCTATAGTGAGACCATGGACTCGTACAGCGGAGCACTGCTAAGCTGAATGTCTAAAATTATAAGAGCAACTATCTTAAAATGCACCCTTCGATAGCCTAGAAGTGGAACTGCCAAGATATGTGTGACGTTTATAAGTAGCAGCCCTTTGATTCAAATGAGACTATTGAAGTCAATATAGTATGCTTCATTTTATTTGAAATTATGTTACGGAAATTCAGTCTATAGATGACAAAAAAGGTAACTATAGTGCATAATTACTCTTAAAAAATTTACTGTGCTGCATAGAGGAATACACGGCAACCACAGAATTTAAAAACCACCAATATTTATAAAGTATGGCATTTTTCGGGTTGACCAAATATTGAATTTCAAGTACCATCGATTAGTACCTCGTAAAAACTCATATATTAACCATCAAAATGAATCAACGTACTGTTTACAGCACAAAAGCAACACATGCCAACAACACAAACTTTTTTATGGCCAGGTTTGTCGCTAGGACTTATGATTGTGTATGAATGCAGTGCCAAGAGTCGTAGGGGTCTAGCACTTCAAGTTGGTGGTGAGTACTGCAAACACGTCATTACTTTCGTACGATGTTTCTTGCCTTTCGCCACTTTCTGGAATAGGAAATTATTGACTCGTCACCTTTTCATTCACTATTTTACGTCATTAGGCTAACTGTAGATGTAAGTACTAGTACGTATATACCAAGGTTGTAATTACTACTCCAAACGGCAACAAAATAGGATACAGCCTTAAAGGCAGCACCTGTCTATTCTTTAGCAGTTAGAAACTTCTCGCATTTGATTTTCACGCACTCACACCACCCGCGACGTACACGCTAAACGTAACAATCACATAGAAGTAACCGATTAGTTCACAAATAAGATGCGCGCAGCTCGTCAGTTGACCGAAAACGTCAAAGTAGGACTGTGACCACTCGAAATGAGAAAAACTCGTACAGTGCGAAAATTTCGAAGTTAACACAATGTCAAAATTGAGTGAGAGAGGAAGACAGTTGGGAAAGGATAAACGTCTCGAGAAAGAGGGTCATTGAGGGCATTAGGCAGGCCTAAGCTTGCGAGGTCAGAAGATTGAAACCGCTCCGAGTGTTTTTTTGTTTTTTTATAGACTTTCGGACAGTTGAAAAAAGGTGAGCTACGTGCCCGGTGAGCTACACTCTAAATAAGAAATTGGGCCCGTATTTACATGTGAATCTGCAAATCTCGTCGAAAGACGATACTCTTGCGTCTGGAGAGGTTGAGCAAAATGTTTACTTGATGTTCTGCGCAAGAAAATCAGTGAATGGTAATCTGTAGGCGCTGCGTTAAAATGCCTCGAGCGTGCAGCGGAGGCGAACGAACGCACCAAGTCACGTCACACGTGAGACAGGAGCGCTATCTGGCAGTCATCTTGGAAAACGATGCGTGCCCACAGCGTGCACAACCGTCTCGAAGGCGATAAGGTGTAGAACACAAGGCGACGGGTAGGTGCCACGACCGTGTCGTCTTAGCAAAGCATTGGGAACACTTGGCTTTCATGCAAGCGTTGCATGGTCAGCGCAGCGTGATAGACTCTACCGTCCTTAGAATATCATATGGATGCCTTTCCTAGTAAACGGCGTAGACACAGAACATATAGGTATTGTTATGGTGCCTCATATATGCGCGATAATTGATTTTTTAACGACAATTGCACAAGAATGAACGGTGAGTCTTGAGCAACATTGGTGGGCGCTGCGGATGGGGTCGGCCGTTTAGAATATTGTCACGGGGTCGTGACGTGGCCAAAGACAGAAAACTTCGTGGTTGGATTTAACTGTTTATTTGGGCGAACCTGTGCCCGGTAAAGGGAAAGTCTAATTACGGCAGCAGTCTTGCACAGATAGCAGTCTCGGACTGATAGCGGCGAACACAGCGTCGGCCTTCGATCAACAACTGACAAGCGGCGAAGCGCGTCGGCATTTATACTCTTGCCGTCGAATGTTCTAGCGTTATCGCTGGCGGTGGCGTAGCTTCCAGAACAATATGTACCGTTCGCACAGTGGGCGTGATCTTATCGAAACGATCTACTACAGTCCGGAACCTTCTAGAAAACTGCAGGCGTGGTTTGCGCTGAGAATCGTGTGGTGTTTTGGGACGATAACAAAAACTTGGGAAATGGAACGTGGCATTGCCCCCCTCTGAAAAAAGGCATCGTCCCGATGCTTTAACTAAAAATGAAGGTACAATAATAATGCAAGAAAGTACAATGAATAAATTACAATACAACAATAATACAAAAAAACACTATTTCAGTTTGTTAACGTGCATGAAACGGCTTGAGGCGCGCGACATGGACGACTTCAGGTCGTGATCGGCGTCGTTGAGAGTTCGTGATGCCGTCGGGGACAACCTCGTAGTCAAGTGGGCCGAGACGTCGAACCACCTTGTACGGTCCGAAGTACCGTCGCAGAAGCTTTTCACTTAGTCCACGTCGGCGTATCGGCGTCCACACCCAAACACGTTCACCGGGCTGGTATTCCACGAAGCATCGTCGAAGGTTGTAACGGTGGCTGTCGGTCGTCTGTTGATTCTTGATACGAAGACGCGCAAGTTGTCGGGCTTCTTCGGCGCGTTGAAGGTACTCGCTCACATCGAGGTTTTCTTCGTCGGTGACGTTGGGTAACATGGCATCGAGCGTCGTTGTCGGGCTCCTTCCGTAGACCAATTTGTATGGCGATATCTGCGTCGTCTCCTGCACCGCCGTGTTGTATGCGAAGGTCACATACGGAAGAATGGCGTCCCACGTCTTGTGTTCGACATCGACGTACATTGACAGCATGTCGGCGATCGTCTTGTTAAGCCGCTCGGTGAGGCCGTTGGTCTGTGGGTGGTACGCTGTCATCCGGCGGTGGTTTGTTTGGCTGTATGCCAAGATCGCTTGGGTTAAGTCGGCAGTGAATGCCGTTTCTCTGTCGGTGATAAGGACCTCTGGGGCGCCATGACGTAGGACGATATTTTCGACGAAGAATTTAGCTACTTCGGATGCACTGCCTTTTGGCAGGGCTTTTGTCTCAGCGTAGCGGGTGAGGTAGTCGGTAGCTACCACAATCCACTTGTTTCCGAAAGCCGACGTCGGGAACGGCCCCAGTAGGTCCATACCGATCTGCTGGAAAGGTCGGCAAGGTGGATCAATTGGCTGCAGAAGTCCCGCTGGCCTTGTCGGCGGTGTCTTGCGTCGCTGACAGTCCCGGCATGTTCTCACATAACGAGTGACGTCGGGGGTAAGACGTGACCAGTAGTACCTTTCTTGTATCTTCGCGAGCGTGCGAGAAACACCGAGGTGCCCTGCCGTCGGATCGTCGTGCAGGGCCTGTAGGAGTTCTGGTGGCAGAACTGAAGGCACCACCAGGAGGTACTTAGCTCGAAGCGGTGAAAAGTTTTTCTTTTGTAGGAGGCCGTTTCGTAGAAATAACGACGCAAGTGCGCGCTTAAATACCTTCGGGACTTCGGCGGTCCTGCCTTCAAGGTATTCTATTAGGGCCTTAAGCTCCGGGTCGGCGCGCTGTCGTTCAGCGAAGTTGTCGGTAGTTATCGTTCCCAAGAAGTAGTCGTCATCCAGGTCGTTGGGCAGCGGTCGGTCGACAGGCGCACGAGAGAGACAGTCAGCGTCGGAGTGTTTTTTGCCGGACTTGTTATGACAGTAATGTCCTATTCTTGAAGTCTCAGGCTCCTCCATCGTGCAAGGCGATCTGAAGGGCCCTTCAAGGTGGCTAGCCAACACAAGGCGTGGTGGTCGCTCACAACTTTGAAGGGCCTGCCATAGAGGTAGAGGCGAAATTTCGACGTAGCCCAGATAATGGCCAGGCACTCCTTTTCTGTTGTGGAATAATTTGCTTCTGCTTTGGATAGCGATCGGCTGGCATAACTAATAACCCTTTCAAGTCCGTCAGCCCTCTGCACAAGAACGGCGCCAAGACCTACGCTGCTTGCGTCAGTATGTATTTCTGTCTCGGCGAATTCGTCGAAATGGGCAAGTAACGGAGGCGTCTGGAGGCGATGTTTAAGCTCCTGGAAAGCGTGTTCCTGTGGCGTTTCCCACTTGAACTCCGAGTCGGCCTTGGTAAGGTTAGTGAGAGGATCGGCGATGCGGGCGAAGTTTTTCACGAACCGCCTATAATAGGCGCACAGGCCCAGAAATCGGCGCACGGCCTTCTTGTCAGTGGGCGGCGGGAAATCGGCGATGGCGGCTGTTTTCCGTGGATCGGGACAAACTCCAGACTTGCTGATAACGTGCCCCAAAAACAAGAACTCCTCATACGCAAATCTGCACTTTTCTGGCTTCAGTGTGAGTCCGGATGTCTTGATGGCTTGAAGTACAGCTTCAAGGCGCCGAAGATGCTCGTCGAAACTCGAGGAAAACACGACGACGTCGTCCAAGTACACAAGGCAAGTCTGCCACTTCAATCCTGCCAGTACTGTATCCATAACGCGTTGAAAAGTTGCAG